GAAGCTGTGGAGATGGCACATCTTCTTGAGAAAGAGCAAATTGGCCAGCACAGACTCACCCTGGCTAGTGAGACGTTAGCAGACGTTTAATCCTCAACCTGTTGTGAGGTCTGTGTTTTGATTTAAGCACCAACTGGGTTCCTTTGCTAGCAAATGAACCTGCAGCAGCTCACCTTGTGTTTCGAGGTGTCCCAGTTGTGGACGAGCCGCGCGGGGATGAGGAAGGTGTCGTCCACGTGGCAGGTGCTGCAGTAGTACCAGCCGCTGTAGCTGCACACCTTGGCTTTCCCGTGGGACAGGCCTATGGAGCGCTGGCAGCCTGCAAAGAGAGGGGAAGAGACTGAGTCTGTACACCGTGCCAGAGGCGCACCATTGGAAAATAACTCCTAAGTTAACTGTTCGCCCACCTGGCACTTCTCTTTTTTAAACAACCAAAGTATTTCTCATTCCCTAGAGATAAAGGAACAAATGCCAATATTCTGTTGCTAGCATGGAAACAACATACACTGACTTTAGCAAGAAAAGCAGTTCAAAAAGCAAAGGCTCCTTAACAGTTCTCAAGAAATAAAGGCAAAAGAGGAGCTGCAAGAGGTCTTAACATCAGGCATTTGAAAGCCGCTGTCATCTGAAAACTGAAGCTAAATAGAAAACCCCAGACCAGAGAAGCACCGTGCCCTCGCTGCAGACAGCCAGGCTGTTTCCCCACATCCAGATGAATCAGCTGGGAATCCCTGGATTACCCTGTGCTTTACGAGGTTTTCCTGAAACTTTTTTCCACATCAGGATCACTGGTCTCTTCCCATCCCCTCCTGTTCAGGGTCCTGGGTGAAAAAACAAATGCAGGCTAAGGCTTCTCCTTGGTGTGGGAAGGACTGATGCAGGTTTAAGGCTTCTCCTTGGTGTGGGAAGGACTGATGCTGGTCTCTCCCTCGCCCGACTGTCTCTTCTCGTAGAACACGCAGAAAGGGCAGGGATCTCCCACCTCTGCCTTTCTCTCGACCATGGTTGAAATGGACCAAAAGGCTCGAGCAATATTAGAGCAGAGGGCTGGGAGACGCGCAGCACGATGGCTCTGAGCAACCTGCTTAGGAGGCAAGGCTGAAGATGTTCAGATGGCCGTAAAGAGATCTGTGTTATCAATATCTCTTTGACAGGGCACATGGTGGCATTTCTGCCGTCCTTCAAGTGCCAGTGTCCCCACAGGACACCCACAGACATGGACACAGTTAGCACCAAGCCCCACTTTGGTTAAACAGCGTTTTACAGGCCCAAGGGTGCTTCTGTCAGTGTGACTGGGTTTACTTACTGTAGTTACATATTTTATCCCAGAAAATGCATTTTTCCCAGTAGATTCCACTCTTATTTGAGGAGAGCTCACAGCGGCTCAGCTACTCTTAAGGTTAAATTGAACTCCTCCTCCTCTTGATCAGTTGATGCTGTCATGTTCCTGCTGCCCCAGACTAACCGGAATTATGTGACCATTGACTCTCAGCAACCCACACCATGGAAAGAAGTTTAATTTAATTTTTAAAATGCATTGATACATAAAGGTGAAGGGCTTGAGCCACTGAAGAGACACGAAAAGCTGCTCTGCGTGTCTGACGGGCCATCCTACCAGCCCTGGGAGATGCTCACAGAAAGTGCTTGCACTGGTGCTATGGAATCTGTGTTTTAGGAGCTCAGCAGAGGTAAATGTGGCCTCTCTGGAGGAAGAGAGAAACCAGCCCCCTTCCCTCCTCGCTGAAATGGAGCAAGGAAGCTCCGAAAGGGAAGATCCCCCTTCCCCAAGCTGAATGGGAGCAAGCTCTGAGCAGAGATCTGTGCTAGCACCGGCTCAGCAGGGCTCAGCCTCGCTGGGAGAGCTGCTCTCCATGCTTCTCCTCACGAGGTTTGTCTCCGCTCTCTCAGCACGACACCAGTGTCACACACCACAGCGCAGGGCCTCTTGATCTACACGCTGCCGCTCCCTCCTAGTGTCCTGGCTCCTACCAGCTAGAAGGAAGGCAAGAATGAGCTAAACTCCAATTCTTTAGGTTTGAAATGTCATCATTCTAAACCCAAAGCCTTCCCTTCAGGATATGTTTTACAAGAAAAAGACAGAAGTTCCTTCCCAAGCAACATGCACCCCTTACTCCATTCCTTCCCTGAACCTGCTTTTGTTCCCTAGCTCCTCAGTAACACATTTTTACACAGGGTATTTCCCATTCCTCTTCACATTCTCAAGTAGATCGTACTCTGCAAACCTACATAACGTTGTAAGGCTGAGATTTCTTTTAGATGAGAATGTGGCACCCACCTCATATTTTTCTTTAGCTTACAGGTTTTGCTGTTTGAAAATCACCATCTTTCCCATTCCTATCTGTTGTGATTCATAATGATGGTTATTTCTACAATCCTTTCAAATCAAGTTATCAAAGCACTGATTTTCTTTGATGTTATGCAGTTCAAAGTGATGTAGTGTGACAAACATATTCCTGTGGCATAGACCACTTATGCTACTTTGCTTTTTTAAGGTGGGGGGAAAAAAAGAGCGAGAAAGAGAGAAGGAAGAGGAGGAAGGAATAGCTCATGGCTTAACACCTTGGAAATCCTGTGCTTGGATGTTCAGGAACATAAACATCACATTTGCCAGAGAGGAAGGCATTGCCGGTTCCTTGCTTTAAACTCTTGGAAGTTCTTCCCATTGAAAGGAGTTCAGTTATAGCGAACCACCTCAGCATGATCAATAGAGCTTGGAGAACCATCCTTACCCAAAGGGTATCGGAGAGAAGCTATGTCTTAGACACACTGCTAGCAAAGCTAGGGAAGGAGCAATCCCAACCCTTTCATCAAAGGAAAGGCACCAAAACAGCCTTGGAATCAAGCAAGGCAAAGAGGGATTGGAAAAAGCAGCAGCCCCAAAGTACTGCTGGACACACCTGAACCTCTCTCAGCAGCTCCTCTGAGTGTGACTGGAGCTTCAGCACCTCCAGACACTAAAGTGGTACCCGAGAAGGGGTGAGGGCTGTAACAAGCCTCTCTCCTCAGCTTGAGCTGGGGACAAGGGATCCCGGGGAGGAGAACCCAGGACACATGGATACGACTCTTCAACCACCAAGGCAGTCACATACAATATATTTTTTAACCCAGACACCTATTTCTTTAAACTTTTAGCATGAAGAGATTGGAGTAGCTCCCCAGTGAAACAGAGAAAATGGAAGACCAAATTAGAATTAAGTACCCAACTGTTTTCCTTATCCAATAAAGTTCCTTGCTCAGTATCAGGAAAAAGCAACTCTCTCATGATTGTGTACAATAATTAAATTTGTGACAGATTAGCTTGGAAGCTAATTCATTTAGAAGCAACATAAAATACGGAGAAAAGATAATGACCCAGAGACTTCAAAAAGCTTTCAGCTTGATAAAGCCATGAAACAACCTAAGCAGAAGCACAGCAACAAATTTTCAGCGTCAAATCAGACGGGCAACATTTCTCTGGCTGCTCACCACAAACAGAACAAGACGTGAGAAGCACTCCAGTTTCAGGCAGCATTTTCTGCACATCTGCCTCAATTCACTCCACAGTCTTTTTCCACGGATAAACACAAAGCCACGAGGCAGACAGAGGCACTGAGACGCCAGCTGAGTCCCCAACATTTCTCATGCTACTCGTTTTCTGTACAACTTCCATTCTGTGAGGTGTTTACCCCCCTTATTTCCACCCTGGCTTGAGCTCACACCTACGCTTTGCCCCTTTTCCCAGCATTAGCTTTCTCGCAAGGAAATCCATTTTCTAAAGAAATTATCAGAACTTTTAAACCTCCAAACAAAGTCTGGTCCCCTACTCACCTTTGCCTGCTTTTCTGAGCTTCTTTTTTTTTTTTTTTTTTTTTTTTTGGAAAAAGTCAATATGGCTAATAGATTAAACACACACAATGTTCTCTGTTGAAGCCATGTGGGTTTGACCCTACCCAGTTGCAATTATTTAAGCAATATGTTAAATACTGTGACTATCTCTAGATTGTGACTGTCCTGCAGCCCACTGTGACTATCCTCTAGATTGGCTTCCCCATAAATCACAAAGGGTTCAGTGCTCCCCAATTCCCACTTCAGTCCCACCCAAGGACAGGTCCAACACTCCTGATTCAGGGAAAACTTTCTGACTATTAGAAGGAGCTCAGGATTAAGCCCTGAATTAACTTCTATCTTCCATTATTGCCGTTTAATGATACCACGCACGGCCCTGTCTTTGCTCTCTCTCGTCCTGGTGTTAGGACATGGTATGTAGACATATCTGTGCATACCCAACATTCTGCACGTTTGCATTATACCTATCCCTTATATAAGGCATGCTGCATACACACTGCAGGTGACAAGGCTATATTCTGCCTCTGTAATAAAACTAACAGTAATTAAGCCTGCAAATTTAACACTGAAAAGATATAAATGTCAAAAGCTAGTCTTGCACTTTGTGCACATTAAGAACAGAACTTCATAAATAAACCAGGGCTAGAAAATACTACCTGCGTGTCAAAGGATTGCAATGAAACCTTATTTTTGTGTACTTCTGGCTTTTCATTTGCTTGGATTTTCCCATTTGAATTTCACTAGGGTACTAATTTCACTAGGGTTTGCTTTTAAAGCTGAGAAGTGCCGAGATGCCGTTTTTCCCAGAGAACTTGCTCCAAGGGAGTTAGAAGCAGTGATAAAGAGACTTGCTTCACATGCAGTCCTAGTGTGTGAATCCTTTAGCACATCCCTTTGCTGGTGCATCCTTTCATTTCCCCCCGTTCCCAGGATGGGCAGCACGCTCTCCAGGCTGAGTTCTCCTTTCCCATTTTCTCCTCCATGCCCTCACAGGATCGGGATCCGCAGCAGCGGGTGCTTGGCGCTGCCTGGCCGAAGGGGACGGGCTCCTGCGCCCTGGCAGCAGTCAGGAATTGGTTGGGATGGGAGCTAGGAGCAAGCACGTAGCTCAAGGCTCATTAATTATCGTAGCCCCTATAGCTATTTACATCCAGGCTTGGCTTTCTCTCCTGGAAGGTAGGCAGGAGGGCTCGGCTGTGGCCAGGTGAGAAGGCAGGTCCTGATGCTGCCTGGAGGATGCTGCACTTGCAAAGCTGCTTCTGAAGGGGACACAGAGGGCAAACCAAGCGGGGGAATGGGGAGGGGAGCCCCACAAAGGCTGCAAAGAGAAGGAGGGGAGGGGAAAAATAATAATAATTAAAAAAAAAAAAAGAGGGTCCCCATCAGGTCCTGGCAAGAGCCTCCCCGGCAGAGGTGCTTTGTCACTCCATTAGCCAAGGCAGCAGGGGTCTGCAGGAAGGGGGGCAGCGCCAGAGACAACGGGCTGCCCTCTTGTATTGCTATTTAATCACTTTTCCTAAATAAATAAAGCAGCCCTGAGGTGCTGTCATGTCAAGGGAATTTATAACAAAACAAAAAAGCCCTCCATTTTTTCACTGGTCATTCCTTTTCCTTCCCTCCCAGCCTTGCAGGACTAGAGAGGGTTATTACTGTAGCCTTAAGTTCCATCTTTGTGTTGCTTGCCTTTGATTCCCACTCGGACCTTGCCACTTTCTGGCACTAATTTGTCAGGCCGAACAAAGGAGGGATTTGTACCTCCTGTAAGGTCTCAATTAGGAAAAGCTTCTGCAGTATTATGTGCCATTGGGACAGGACACAAAGACAGTAATTACAGGAATTTGCACTAAATGGCTGAAGAATTCACAGCAAAACTTTTCTTCCTCCCTCCTCCTCCCCGTTTCCCCCTTTTCCAAGCTTTCCCCTCCCAGAAGCCCTGGAGAAAAGGACTCTCAATGCCTGCAAGATGTAATTACGAGCAGCAGGCCCCTTGGGTTAAACAGCAGCCCGTGCAGGGGAGGAGCACAAGCTCCTGCAGGGAGCAAGGCACGAGGAGGGCACCTCAGCTGGCTGCTGGGCCTCCTCAGCACCAGCTTTTCCCAGATATAACTGCGATTTTCCCGGGTACAACTGGGATTATTCACTCATTTGTACTGCGGGAACAGCTACGAGTTTCAGTTCAGGCTTGAGGACTTTGGAGGAGATCGTTGGCAATGCTCACTCGAAACTCTCCTGCATCTCAGGTAGAGCATGGAAGAAAATGACAAAAATCTTTCTCCACTGAATTTTGGGTGAAAAGAAATAAGGAGAAAGGAATAAAGTTTGAACGGACATTTCCTACCCCAAGGCTGTTAATTCTGCTGGAGTTGCCCAAAGCCAACCTGCTGGGTAATGCACCAGGCTCGGTCCATCTTGGGGACTTCTGTCTGACCTGTTCCCAGTCTCACTGCTGCTTTCGTTCTCACAGCTACTATTAAAGACAAGGATTTTTGTCTTTGCCCCTCTTTTCTGCACAGCAGACATGTTTTTAAAGCACTCAGGTACCTGGTGGTGCTGAGGCCATCACAGCTATGGGCTAGGTCAACATTCAAATGAACTGAGGTTCTGGTTAAGAACAGTTAGATGCAGCTGCTTCAGGCCATGATCAGCTCTGCCTCAAGAGAAGGAATAAGCAGCTAAGGCCATGCCTGAACCCTAGGGCCAGAGCCCACAACAGCACTTCAGCAAGCACTGACACGCGTGGAGCAGGCTCCCCAGGAGGTTTGCAGATGAACTTGGACTCCAAAAAGGACAGGAGACAGAAATAAAAGGAAACAAACATGCCTGAAACCAGAAAGCTGTAGTAATCAAAACGCAAACCCCGTTGATTCTGGAGCAAGCACAGATCTCTTACCTGTTTGCTACTCAAACACCTCTGACTTCTCATACATCTCATAGGCTTTTCTCCCTATTTTAGAGAGCAAGACAGGCTAACCTGCCAAGGTGCCCCTGGCTGGAGATGAAGGAAGGGAGCAGCTCTGCGCTGCTACAGTGCATGCGAGTTCTTCCAAGGGCTTTTTCCGCCCTTTTCCTGGACAAGGGGAGTAGGGGCCAGTTCTGCAGTTCAGTTGCTTACCTGCACACTTGAAACTCTGAACTGTGAGCCCTCTCTCCAGCGTCAACGTGGTCAGGATGCTCAGGAAGCTGGTGGTCACCGACTGCCGCTTGCTCTTTCTCAAGTCCCTTCTGAAAGGCCGGTCTCCAGGTTTGTTCCTGAGCGTGACTTGCAGGTCCTGGCCCAAGCTTCTGGCCCCCAGCCCCTCCATCCACTCCTGGGCTCTCTGACGGGTCTCCGCGCGGAGCCGGAGGACGTCTTGAGGAAAAATGACCTGAAAGCAAGAGTCACAGCCATCCTGCATGTCCGTCTGGACTGACAGGCACACAGCGACGTTGTAGCTCAGCAGAGGGTCCTCATCAAGCCGACCCGGCTGGAATGCCATGAGATAAGATCTATTCAAGACAAAAGTAAATGCCTTCCAGTTATTCTGGACAGTCAACCTATAGAGAGTCCCTGATTTGAGAATATTTTGGTACTCTTTAGTATTTTCAGTCAAATTCATGGAGAGAAAAAGCTCCATGGGCTTCTCCAGCAATCCGTTGGTTTGAGGAAGGTCGCTGTTGTCGTCAGGCTTTGGCACATTCTCCAGCTTCTCCTGCTGCCTCCCAAAAGCCGGCGCAGAGGCACGCGCCGCTTCCCACAGCTTCTGCCCCCAGTCCAAGGCCTCCCAGGAGGACCCTGCCTTCAGCTGCAGCTGCGAGCTGTCCGACAGCAGAGCGTCCACCACGTTGGCTTCCACGCTCCCCGTGACAGTGACTCTCTGAAAGCGCGCGAGCGGATACACCGTGGGAAGGGTCTGGTTGCCGCTGCTGTCCAGGCGGTACACGCAGAGTTCGTATGGGGAGAGCTCAGCGTAACAGCTCTGCCAGTAGCTGTCATTGTCCCTGCGGATTTCTAAGTATCCCTTCTTCAGGATATTTGGAAATGTTGGCTTGTGTTCTGGAAGACCAAATGAAGACAAAGTGAAAACGTGGCTGTTAGTTCTTTTTAAATGAATTGTTTCTCACTGTTAGGTCATTTAGGTTTATACATCTCTCCTCACAATACATATGTTTTGAGTATACAAATCACTGAAATAACCTCCATCCATTCGGCTATATCTATATTCATGAAATGCACGCACCTTTGAGTATACACTTGAGTCAAGAAAAGTATAGCACTGCTTTATCCAGAAATGCCAGAACACTTTGCAAGGAAACAGACGTACAGAGAAACAAACCCATTTTCCTGGGATTAGCCCAGAGGATAGAGCCGGTGTTCCAGATCAGAAGAATCCAGTATTATCAAGTAAAACAAGAGTGGCGACCCCAAAATGCTAAATCCTGCACAAAAGTGACCAGTTTAGCTCTATACCGTTGCCTGGATGTCTCTCTCACAGTGCCTCTATCTTTGATAGCATTTTACACCCTTTCATACTCATGTAACAGACTTACCAAGATACAGGGAGTGCAGAAGTGCTTCCAATGACAGGAGCTTCTCACGGCACTTCGGCAAGACCCAAGACCAGAACATATTGCCTAGCTCCGTTTACCAGAAAGGAGTTTTGTTTATTTAGGAGAAACAAGCTTAGGATGAGCAGAGACAAACAGCTCATTTATTTATTTTTAAAAGGAGGCTGCCCAGTCTCAGACACACGTTAAATGCCTCAGTATTTTGAATGCTTTGGATCAGGCCCTTTCAAAAAAATCCTGGCCGAAGGTGAAATCAAGAGGAATTTGTTTTGAGAAAATCCTCTGGGCATCAAAACAGTAAGAATTTAACCTCAGCTATCAAAAGAATTTCTGAATTTTTAAAAAGGTTTCAGCGCAAAATTGTTTCCAATCTAATCTGCATCACTTCAGCCTCTGTTAACGCACGTGAACATTATATTTTCACCCCGGGGCTGGACATGTGGCTTTATATATAATATAACTACAGAGGAAATCACTGTTATGCTCTAATGACAAATTTAATTCTTGGCATCCCAAAGCAACCCAGCTCTGAAACAATTCTTGCTCCTTTTTGACTTCTACTTCACCTTCCTTGCAAGGGAACTTGTGATAGGCTTTGAATTAACAACATAGGTTTTGAGTTAACAGAATTAACAGAGAAATTCCAGCTTGCAGCTGCCCATCACCCATGGAGCTTTCTGTTCCCAAAGCAGGAACATGGGAACCGCTTGGGAAGGGCTCTTGAAACACTGCCTGGCACAACCCAGCCAAGCCACAACCAGCATCCGCTGGCCTTAAGGCACCGCAGCAAATCCGGAGCTGCTTCGGCCTGTGGTTTCTACCCTCAGGCTGACGACGTTCCAAAGAGGGATGGGGTAGACAGTGGCACAAAAATATTCCTGGCTGGAAAGCACCTTGTAGATGATGGGCAGGGTTTGGTGTATGGGCAGGGGGACAACTAAGAGCAGAAAGTCCTGGCTAGCTCCTCAGTGAAGACCAGCTTTAAATATTTACAGGAATTAGGTAGTCACGTCTCAGTCAAAAGCATACAGGAGAATTAACATACAGTGTTGCTACACTTAGTGTGAACAGGCAGTGAAAAACATGGGGAAGGAGGCTGTGTTCCACCCACACTCGCAGCAAAGAGGACACCTTTCAGGTCTCCAGGGCAGGGGTTTTGCTTAGACAGCCTGTCCTCAGCTTCCCCACTTAGCCCGCACGTACCCCCAATGGAGGCTGTATTTAACATCATGTTTAAAACACTCTGCACTTTACCTACAATGATTTCCTGCAGGGATCATAAAAAGGCATAATAATAATTAAAAAAAAAATCATTACTTTGACACTAGGTCTGAAAAGGTTCAAAAGAAGTCGATGTAACTATCCCTTGCAGACAAATAAGCTACTCAAGTGTATTTTGTCTAAATGTGAAAACTGAAAGCCCACTCTAAATCTTAAAATGGCCGAGAAAAAGCATGCTTTCCTACCTCAAATGGATAGATACACACAGAGGCGCACACACACACACTAAAAGGGAGCCAATTTTGTTTCCCATACATCTCTGGCCTGACATTCATTAGTATTTCTGTGCTAACTCAAAAGCCATTAATTTCTCTGAAACCCACACTAATCCCTTTGTAGTGCAGATAATGGACAGCCATTCTAGAGTCATCTTCCTTTGCTATTAATCCAATCAGGGAGGCAGTGCTGCCGCGGCTCCCTCGCTTCCATCAGGTACGGATGACAGTTCAGGCTCCCCGTGATAAGTCCCACTCGTGGCCTTCCCCGGGCCCCTTTTGCCAGCGTGCAGACTTGCCTCCTTTGGTGGGTTAGGGGGAAAACAACCCTCCAGGCCCTGCGGAGGGGCCCCCTGCTCCCTGTTTCTGTCAAGCTCTTGCGACTTGGCCCTGTGATTCCCGCTCCACGCAGGACAAAACCAGCAGATAACTTGGTTAATATCCAGATATCTCATGCTGTTTAGGCAAGGCTGGCAGAGAGGGGTTGAATCCATACACATTCGTGCACCAAACACACACACCTTGCAACCCTCTCCTGCTTTAGCTCCTCAACGTGCCCTGTGCTAGATAATACCTTTCCACTCAGATACTAAGTGCTCCCTTTCCCTCCATCCACCTTCCAGGGAGAAACAGCATCTTTTTTTCCTCCCTGCAGAGAGAGGCAGAGTGAATTGAAGAAGTGAAAATAAAAAAAAAAAAAAAAAGGGGGGGGGGGGAAATAATCAGAGTAAATGGCCTACGTCTGAGCCATTTGGAGTTATAATTCCAAGAGAGGAGGGGGAAGGAGGCAGCGGGAACAAAGGGGGATGCAGCAGCTGAGGATGGGCCATGTGTTCCCACTGCTTCTGCCCTCTTTCTTGGGAGCTCCCGCCGCGTCCTGAGCATCCCAAGCAGGGCACCGAGCAGCTCAGGAGCTAACCAGCACTGCAAATGCCTTTCCAGCACCTGCAGATCTCTCTTGTTGAGCAGTTGGCTGTACTTACATCCCCATTGGTAAGGCAGGAAAACTCGCTCGCCGCCCCTGCAACATTCCCAGGAAGAGCAAGCAGCCAAGCACAGAAGCAGAGCCGCTCGCTCCGGAGGGCTTTCCCTCTTGCCTCCTCCTGTGCCGAGCGGCGGCTCTCCCGCTGCTGCGCCGGGAGCGGGGTGCCTTTACCTGCAGTTACCCCCGGGAGCGGGGTGCCTTTAGCTGCAGTTACCCTCAGGAGCGGGGTGCCTTCACCTGCAGTTACCCCCGGGAGCGGGGTGCTTTCACCTGCAGTTACCCTCGGGAGC